TAGTGAAAAACAAAACAAAATCCCGGGACACATCTTCCTGATTTTGAACCATTACGTATCTTTTTGTTCTGTTTGAAAGACTGCCTCTTGGTCTATGCAAAAATTCCTTATATGCAATTAAGTGTTCTGGTATACTCATACTCCACAATGTAGTCCATAGCTTGTCATGGTCCATACAATCGAAATCCTTTGCATAGTCCATAAAACACAGGCAAATGTCTTTCTGGTATTTTCTGCTTTCAGTCAAGATCCACTGGTGTCAGCAATGATATCCCACATTCCACATCCTCATCTAAATCCAGCTTGAACATTCTCTGTTAGTGTAGTATTGCAGCCAGTTTTTTATTATTTTGAGTAAAATTTTACTTGTGTGTGATATTAATGATATTGTCTGATGGTTTCTACATTCCCTTGGGTCATCTGTTTTCAGAATGGGCATAAATATGGATCTCTTCCAATCAGTTGTCCAGGTAGCTGTCTTCCAAATTTCTTGATTTAGTGTCTCCAGTACTGCTTCACTTCATTGAAAGATTTCAGCTTTTATTCCTTCACTACCCAGAGCCTTGTTCTTTGCCAATGCCTTCAGTACTACTTGAACTTCTTCTTTCAGAACCATTGGTTCTTGATCATATGCGATCTCATAAAATGGTTGTACATTGACCATTTCTTTTGGGTAGAGTGACTCTGTATATTCCTTTCATCTTCTTTTGATATTTTCTGCAGCATTCAATATTTTGCCCAAATAATCCTTTAATTTTTAGAAAATGTATCACAGCCATTTATTCCAAGTCTATTTAGATCTGAAAGTTCCATTGAAACTTGTCCACAATGGGCAATTCTTCTGACAATTGAAATACCAACGGTATAGATTCCAATATCATAGCAACATGCAAACCATCACAGTTCCACAAACTGGCAGACTGATGGTGGATGAAGCCCATAGTTTTCCTAAACTAAGTTTTATTCTGCAGAGATCAGTAAGCAATACATCTGACATTTTATTGTCCCTTCTTTTTTTGACTCATTTGTTTCTTAATTTGTTCAAGGATTGTGTGGGAAAGCAGAAGTATTATTTATTGGATCTCTGAAAATATCAAAGTGTATGAAGTTATAAAACTTACTAATATTGACTGGAACATTTAAGAGTATATAAACATTGTTGTTACTGTTGTTAGCTGCTTTTGAGTTAGTCTCCAACTTGTGGTGACTGTGTCGATTGCAGAGTAGAACTACCCCACAGTTTTCTTGGTGAACTTTTATGGAAGCAGATCACTGAGACTTTTTTCCATGAAGGTATTGAGTTGGTTTGAATTGCCAACTTTTAGTTAAGGAGCCCTGATGACATAGCAGGTTACCTACTGAGCTATTAATCACAGATTTGAATCACCCAGTCACTTTGTAAGAAAAAGATGAGGCTTTCTGCTCCTATAGAGATTTACAGCCTCAGAAACCCTATACTGGCTCATTATGAGTTGGACTGACTTAGCAATGCACAACAATATTGGTTTGATTCGAACTGCCAACCTTCAGCTTACTGTTGTTGTTGTTAAGTGTTGTCAAGTCGATTTCAACCCATAGCGACCCTGGATAGGATTTCCAAAGAGCAGCTGGTGAGCTTGAACCACTGACCTTGCAGTTCAAATGATTTTGCAGTCTGACGCATTAGCCCACAGTGCACACCAGGTAAATTGAAAACTAGGATACTTATAGAAACATTAGTATGGGTATTCAAGCACTAATCCATTTGACTTTACTATTTTTTTTTTTTTTTCAGCTTTGGGGCACATATTTTATTGTACTCCATTGTTTATACATCCACTTCCCAAACTAGACATGTTTATTCATCTTTTCAATCCTCAAAGCTTGGCATAGGGCCTGGCACATAGTAGGCACTCAACAAATATTTCATCTTCAAAACTGACTACTCATGTAGCCATAATCCTTTTATATACCATGAGGAAGGCTGATACTTAGGTCCATGTGTATATTTTGAGGGACACAATATAAATCCCAATAAATTATCTTTTAATTTTATATAGATCAGAAACTACTCCTATATGCATTTTCAAAATCAAGATGGCATTGAGATGA